TTTTTTTTTCCCATCTCCAAAGGGCTGGGGGGGAAAAAAGCCCCCAAAGGTTTTTTTTTTTTTCAACCTTTGGTTGGGAGCTGCGGCGCCCGTCCTCCCCGCCAAGCTTCCCCTTCGCGGCGTTTTGGGTCCGGAGGGCAGCGGAGTTAAATTTAGAGGGGGGAAGAGGTCGAGGATGAGCGGTGAGCGCCTGCTGACGGGTCTTACTGCTCAACGAGATCCCGTAGCGCCCTTGTGAGGAAGAAGGTCATCTCATCTGCCTCGTCAGGTCCAAGGAGCTTTAATGTCCTTTATCCCTCGCGCAATGACGCGCGTCGCACCCAAGGGGATCGGGGGGAGTCCGAGCTGTCGGCCTGCCCTCAGCACCGATTCGTCCCTGCCACTCCTTCTAGATGGGGAAAAATAAACCCAGCCCTTCGCCACCTTTCAGCGTGGGGTTGTGCTGCCGCTCAGCCGGGTTCCTGCTCGCTCTCTCTGCCGCGTTTTCCCCCTCTCTCGAGCCGGATTTTGAGCATTCACCGCAGGAACCGCCGGCAAGCAGTGGATCAGGCGTGAAACAAACTCACTGACTGATTTTTTTTTTTTTGTTTCCTGAGCATCTCTCGCGGTCTCTCTCTCAGTCCTGCAGTGTGCCACCGTCATCGGGTTCTGCTACTGGGCCTCGGAGCTGATCCTCGCCCAACAGCAGCAGCACAAAAAATACCACGGTTCCCAAGTCTACGTCACCTTCGCTGTCAGCTTCTACCTGGTGGCCGGCGCCGGGGGAGCCTCCATCCTCGCCCCCGCCGCCAACCTGCTGCGTCACTACCCCACCGAGGAAGAGGAGCAAGCCCTGGAGCTCCTGTCCGAGATGGAGGAGAACGAACCTTACCCGGCTGAGTACGAAGTCATCAACCAATTCCAGCCGCCGCCGGCGTACACCCCGTGATGGCACCGGGACGCGGCCGTGGCTTCCTCCCACCCCCAAACCTCGCTCTCCCGGCACCTCCTTTGCTCCTCTGATCCCTCCCGCGCAGAGGAAAGAACTTCTCGGGGCGGACGATCGGCGTTTTCTTCCCATCCCTTATTTTATGAACTCCACGGCGTGATTTTTAACCCTGCGCTGGCTCGGCTGGCCGAAACACCGACGGCATCGCGGCTTCTCCCCGGCACGAGGGGCGGTGGGATCCGCTCTGCCCCGTCGGAGACCTCATCCACAGCCTGCGCCGGGAAGGAGGAGGAAATCCCACCGGATCCCCGGCCTGGCGCGCGGCGAACTCGCTCCCTCCTCCGCCGAGGCGGAACATACGCCCCGAGAAAGGCACGGCGCACGCCGGCGTGTATATATTTATGTATATATATAGGGGAAAGGCCCGCTGGGGGAGCGGAGCAGCCCCTCGCAGCGGCTGCA